TATCAACTTTCTCGCTGATCAAATCTTTCGTGTGCATCAGCACAGTGACGCGATACATGAAAATCAGCACGTTTTGCTCGATTTTGATGAAGGGCATGGCGGAGAGAGTTGGATGGCTTGCCTAACTGCACCCGGGAGTTCAGGGAAGTAGCCCAGGTGGAGGGCCGGCAGCAATCGTTACAAGGAGAAAAGTGAGGAAGAGGGAGAGGAAGGAGGAGGAATGTGACCAAAGCAAAGCAAAGAAGAGCAAGAACATTGATCGCCACCGTGGCTCTCCAGGACGAGCCGCAAGAGAAATTCACAAATGTTGTGTCTGAACGCCGAACTTGACAGGGGTCACTTCCCCCAGACCGCGGTGGACTACAACATCCTCTCCAACATGCCCTTTCAGGAGCACCATTGGGCCAAGCCGGAGCCTTGTGTTTCTCAGTTTGGATGTGGTGGTGTGCGAAACCAAGAGGCACAAGTAGCTTGGTGTTTCGAGGCACGATGAGCGGCCTCGGCTGAAGGAGAAGTCTCCGAGGGTGAGGAAGGCTTGGAATGCTGCAGCGTTGCTGCGGCAAGCTTGAGGTCAGTCGTGACTATGAGGATTTTTGTCATGTAATTATTGGATCTCGTCCAGGTAAGGCTGCTGTGTGCCGTTCAGCTAGCGAAGGATGCGAGATGGTTCGGGTTCGATAACACGACATGAATACCAGTCCATTGTCCATGCTCCACGCGATGCGTCCCACGCTATTCTTCTGCACAAGGCACCCTACGCAATTCGCGACATGTAATGGTCTGCAGACGTCGTCGCTGTATGGGTTACCTCTCCGCCAATCAGACTGCGAAGCCAACCACGTCTCAGTCCTGAGAGTTCGTAAGGTGGTGTTATCTTTTTTTCTAAATGGGTCCTTTCAAGCTGCCGGCAATGTACTGAAGACCCCCTGGGCAGGTGCCGGCATTTCTTTGCAAGGACGGCTGATGTGGAATCGAAGATGGCTGGTTTGAAAGACGTCTGGGCTCGAAGACCTTGACTTGCCCAGTTGTTGTCATGAATGCCCTGCAGGACTTCGACATCATCAACAACCGCTACCTGGACAATCACTCTGCCGCATGACAACAAAATCGAACAGGTTTTGTGCACAGTGATGCAGTGGACTTTGGGCAAACTTCCGCATCTCTGGAATTTCAATGGGTGGTTGCAGCGCTCCCTAATAAATCCAATCACTGCGTGGTTTCGAAGTCGGATGCCCTGTATCCTCTGTACATTAAACGCTGGCCACCCTAAAAGTCCTGACATGTCAGAGTCTCTCCGCTGCTTTGACGGCCGGAGCCTCCACGTTGCAAAGAGCGGTGCTCAGGAGAAGCTCCGGCAAGAGAAGCACGTGAATCTGCTTGAGGCCGAGTTTTCTACAGAAGCACCTCATTACAGTGCCGTGGGCGAACTACTGAGTGCTGACACAAGCTTGGATTCCTTGTGTTTGTTTGACTGCTCCGTCGGACCCAGAGCAATCAAGCGGCATATCCGTGCAAGGCCGAGTAGCAGCGCATTTCCAATAAACAGCATAAACGAGAGTGAGGACTTGAAGCTGCAACAGCCGAGTAAGTCACTCTCTCCCAGCCAGCCCCAAAGCTTGAGCGAAGTAGCCAAAAGGAGTGAGTCGCACTTGTCAGAAGTAATTGCAAGAGAAGCGGTCTCTTACCCGCCATGCTCTTTGCACCGCAGGCGGGAGTGAGATCCGGTGCAGTTTCGGCTTTGGCTTCGTTCTTTATGGCTAGTTGCTGGTCTCTTGTGGGCCACAGAAGAGCATTTGGGCTTTTGATTTTGCAGCATGATGCGAGCTAGGGCTGAATGTACTGAAGGAAGCCCTACATTTCCTACTATATGGTTTCGTGATGTGGGATGTGAGAGTCGCAAACAGCATTCACATCGGCACCAAGATGATAGAATTTGCAGTTCGAGTGTGGGCACAAGCACGAGCGTGACAGTGCTGCAGGCGGTGACGGCAACCTGTTTGCAGAATTCCTCGCTTTGCAGCCATTGCATTCGGGTTGACTAGAGCCCCGGCAACGACCTCTTCGCCAGATGGACATCGGCCTGACGTTGCCGCTGTCACCCCAGCCCCAGGGCCAGTTCCTGCGTGCGGGCCTCGCTTTGTGTTGGGATTCAGTTTCGCATGGCCTTCCGTCAGGTAGTGGTTGGATGAGTAGATGCGTACTCTTGAGGCAGAGGGCTGAAGGTGTTGTTGTTTCGATGTCTGCGAAAGATGCTGTTTGGCGAGCTAGCTATACGATGTGCTCGGCGCTAAGAAGTGCGCTCTTTAGTTCGGCGGTGTCTCTACTCACCTATGCTTGGAGTGGTGCGAAGTGTTCGTTTTTGAGGCTCCCTTACTGTTGGTTTTCGGCACCGAAGCTCGGCTGCTCAAAGCCTCAAAGCGCCATGGCAGTGCAGAAGGAGAGACCATCCTTCGAGGAGACCTTCCGCCCTTTGGCAGAATTTTCTTACCGGAAATGTTCCTGTGGTACTGCACATTTTGCACATTTAAGAGACGGCGAGACTCCGGTGTCGAAGCCCGAGTTTGTGCGATAGGTCCTTTATTTGCCCAGGTCGCATCTTTGCCCTCGCATGGCCAAGCATCCTCTCTGAGCTCTCGACGCCGTTTTTGGGCCTTGTGGACACCATGGTGACTCGACTCTGCCAGAGTTTGCATAGTAAGGAGGACCTGCAGCACCACTTCCACAACTAGTATCCACACACAGAGTACCTGTTCTATAGGAGTTCGCAAATGGATCCTCGCGCAAATAGATGGCATCTGAGTCGAAAACTAGGGTGTATGACAGGCGACGTGGGCCCCGTGGTCTGATTGGGGGTTCCGCTGGTGCCAGTACTAAAGCGCTTAAGACTGAGCATCACTGAGGTTTCAGCAGAGCACATATAATTTAGCACTTAGCGCTAGCTCCAACGCTACGTGCCAGCACGAACACAGTACTACCACTGGCGCTGCTACTGTTGCTACTGATATTACCGCTAGGCTACAGCATGTGTTTGTGGAGTATACGCTGAAGAGCCAGATTCAAGCATTGCAGCCGGCAGGTTGTCGGCCACTTCAACGAGGCGCGCGACGTCGCCTCCCTTGCGCTTGCGCTGGCGGCCTACAATCCGCTCCTGCTCGCCGGGAATCCTAGAAATAGCGGTTTTGCAGAAAGCGCTGGGGCCCAGAAGGTGCCCAGAAGAATTGCGTTACTAATTGAAACTTCAGGGCCCCTCCGAGGAGGGAGGCTGAATTCCGAAAGGTTCTGCTGTTTCAGCAGCGTTAGATCCCGAGCACTTCATAAGCTCACTTGTGTGGTTCATCAGCATCATCATGTCCAGCATCACCCTCGTCATCACATGCTGACAACTACGACGATCTGTCGGTGAAATGATCTTACTGTCGCAAAGGGCACCGTAAAGCTGGCCAGCACTAGCAACTCCAGCACCCGGGCAATCAAGAGTCTACTTCCTCGAAGCAGAGCTTTGCATCCTGAAAGTTGTCGTGGAAGGTGCTGATGTAGGAAATCTGAAATTATCGCGTGTTTGCCGTACAAGTCCGTGTGGATCTTATCGCTTGCTGCAGGTGTTGTCCTTCATTGCTTTGTGAATGCAGGTCTTCAACTTCCTTCGCATGGGCTTCGGGGGTGTCACTGCCCAGGCCGCCTGATGATCAACTACGAACATGTGCGTGCAGTTTTGCATGGAAAGAGCCGCACAGCCCTCTGATGCGATCTGTAGAGACGCACAATCCTGCCTAAGTGTAGCAGCACGAGCGACATCAGCATTTCTAGCCGCAATACATCGGAACATCGGAGGCCTTCCGTCCGCGGAGGCTGAACTCTTGCGAAGATGATTCCTTTAGTGCCTCAACAGGGTCCCCGAAGTCTGGACGCCGCAGAGCTCAGGCCTACGGCGCCAAGGACAGCCAGGAGCTCGCGGCTGGCGCTCTGCGCGGGCTTGCGGTTGGCTGTGGTGCCACAGCTGCAGAAGGGATCAGTTCTGAAGCTGGTGTTTCGAAGACATGTGGGATTGCCGAGACTGTCGTTGTACGCCCAGGAACATAAACTACATGACAGTTGCTCATGTTCCATGGACCTATGTAGCAGAAGGCTAAACTGTTAATTATGGTTAAGCAGTGCAAGCAAGCCTGGCGATACTCGCAGCAGCAATTGAACGCCTGCCCGCTGACTCGCTGAAGTCCTCGGAAGCCTGCTCTGCCTCCTCCGCGGGCCGCTGGCGCAGCTGCTCTTCGGCTTCCTGCATGTTCCCGACGAGGCCCCATTGTCCATAGCAGCGTAGGAACTGCCAGTGCCAAATCCATGCGGAGGCAACGCTCGATCGTGCCCTGGCCTACTTCCAGACCCGTGTGCCATGCCTTCATTGAGGGGGAGGCACCTTTGCAGGGCCTGCCTTTCGAACACGCCACGATTTGCAGAGGTTTACGGTACGCCAGCGGCTTTGTCCAACTTCGTGGTCCAGGCTTGGCTTATCAACATCCAGAGGAGACGCGGCAACGCTCAGTCCCTGCAGCTCACAGAGGGCTTTCAGGGTGGGGTTTGAGGTGAGGGAAGTTGCCTGTGCAGGACAGACGTAGCTCTGGCCACCAACCTTGTCCTCAACCTCTGCAATGCCTTCCTCTGCATCCTGCTGGGATGTCTTCTGGACTATGGCATTGAGGCCCTCGAACGCGGAAATCTTTCATGATCCCAGCCTTTGAGAGCTCTTGGGATGTAGGATAAAAGACTTTGTGGCTCAACAAGTTGTTTCGTGCCGAGCTGGGCAGGGCGTAGCCACGGCCACTGTGATCTCCAACTATGTTGCCTTGGCCTTCGGCTGCTACCAAATCTGGTGGAACCTACAGCGGCTTCCCTGGCTTGCTGAAGGGTCTCAGCACATTCAGCTCGAAGCGTCTGCTGTGTTCAGCTCACGGAAGTTGGCAAAGCTCGCCACGCTGAATGTCAACATCCTGGTCCGCTCCGTGTGCATGATGGTCATTGCCCCTGCCTCAGATCTCAGAGAGGAGCCTCAGATCACGCGGCGAGTCTGGGCCGCAGCTCGTGCCTGGGCCTAGGTCACGGACTTTACGTCCCTGAGCGGCAAGCTGGGGAGTGCCGCCCTGGCGGGGAACAACCTGCTGATGCAGCTGCAGATGCTGATCTCCTTTGGGGCCGATGGCTTTGCCAATGCCGGGGAGGCGATGGTCGGCCAGGCCATAGGGCTGGGAGACAGCCACCGGGTGCGCCAGGTCTTCGGGGCGCTCATGTGCTGGGGTCTGCTGCTTGGTCTTGCCTTCACGGCCCTTTACATCACTTGCGGCCGGCAGATCCTTTTCACTTTGACCTCTCATCCGGAGATTGTGGCCTATGCAGAGGCTTACCTCCCGTGGCAGTGGTGCGCCCCGCTTCTGTCCTTCACGGCCTATCTCATGGACGGCCTCTTCGTCGGAGCGACACAGCCGAGCAAGATGCGGGATGCCACGTTCCTGGCTCTGCTAGTCTTCTGGTTGGTGAGCCACGCACAGTCGAGTCTTTCCAACGATGTCTTATGGGGTGCATTCATGCTGCATCTTCTGGTGCGTGCAGCGGTGCTGCTCTACTGGTACAGGGGTATCGAAGTAGCCGCAGACGAGAGACACAGCTACTACCAGTCGCTGTTGCCGTCCAGCAGCACCTGCACCAGTTGAGCCAGCTTTTTTTCTTGGACTTCTCAGGGCCAGCAACCAGGTCCTTTGAGGCCGGGTGCGGGGGGCGCTACACATGACGGCAGCCTCAACATGTGCATGGACAACTTTGTTGCCCCGGGACACTCCTGAGGAGCAACACATGTCGCAGTCGTCGCATTTTGTCCAACGCGACGACCGCAAGTACTTGAATGTTTGGGAAGTGGCAGCCGACCAGCCAACCCGGATTGAAGGGTGATTGGGAAGGCAAGAGCTCGCTCCTGATCTTCATCGAGGATCATCTGACAAATGACTTGGAGCTGGTGAAACTCCAGACACAAGCTCCGGACGCTCCATGCAATGGCAATAACGGGCCGCTGGATCCTGGAGGTGTGCTGCCAAATCCTTTACAAGGAGACGCATAGTATCGTAGCAGAGACTGAGACTCGATTTTAGTCTTGTCTTCCTTCTGCTGCTTGCGATGCCGTGAAGCATCGTCCCGGTTTTTGAACCCGAACTGGTCTCGAAATCAGTGGGAGACAGGAGTAGTGGGCTTGCTGTGGGTCATCGATCTCGAAGCTAGCCGACAGACCGGAGTGAAAAGCTGCTTGCTGTGTGCGATCGAGTTTTGTAACTTTGCGCAAGCAGCAGACTCCATGGGTTGGTTGAGGAAGTGTAAGTTGTATGCCCAAGCAGGAAACCCTTGCTGCAAACCACCATGCTGCTCCAACCTCGCTGTATGTAAGGCTTGAATCCTGAAGTCTCGGCAGCCGAGCTTGCCTATAGAAGCTTCCGGAGTTTGAATAGAGTACGGGCGCCCGAAACCCCTGCACGCAGAGGCCCGGAAGTTTCGGCTGCGGCACTGCCCAAAGCGGCGGAAGGCATCACTTATTCTCCGGGTCTGGGGTCGATTTTGTCCGGCCTGCTCTTCGTGCCGCTTTGTGAGTTGCCGGTTTCATGTCGATGTGGACAGAAGACTTTCGAGAACGGTGGGTTTGTTTCTTTTGTCGCATTGGCTGGTTCTCGTTGCAACCCTTTTGCATGGAGCTTCGGAAGCCTTCTCTGTGCCACTGGATGGAGCTAAGTTCCTATGTGCTGCGCAGCAATAGGCCCAAGGCTCAGACAGACGAGATCCTGTAGGACTGCCCACAGGTCCTACAGTCCTCCAGCCTGACCCTATGACTCCATTCGGTTCTGGAAGAACAAGTTCCTAAACATCGGACAGCCGTCACTAAAAGCAGCCATGGGGCTGCCGCCGAGAGCTCGCGAGAAAACGGTGGCTTTGGCTAAATCTCGAAGGGTTCTTTCAACAGATCTGAGGAACAGGGTGGTTTCAGAGCTGACGCTGTACTCAAGCCATCGGTTGCCTGCCAGCTTTGCAACGAATACTGCACCTCCACCACCACCAACAGCAACAGCAACAATAACAACAACAGCAACAGCAAAAGCAACAACGCTGCCAAGAACAAGAACAAGACAACAAGAGTAATACCAATTAACATGAACACGATCAATAACACTAGCAAGAACAAAAGCAACATCAAGACCAATACCAACAACAATATCAATCAACAACAATAGCTACAACAGGAACAATAGCAAGAACAATACCACAAACAATAACAGTAACGATATCAACAACAGGAACAAGAGCCAGAACAAACACAAAAAATATAAACAGTAACAGTAATAACAACCATTGCAACAATAACAATAGACCGTGACTGCAACTTGATTATCATTCTGATGACCTCGGCATGTCCATTGCAGCGACTCGAGCAGGCCTCAGCCTTTAAGACTTTAAGATCTCAAGCTTCAGGTGCGTGAGACTGCTAGCCGCTCTCGCAGCGCCAGAAGAAGCCCTTCTCGGAAAAGCTCCCGGAGCTTCTTGGACCCTAATCTTCCTTCAAGCCTCAGCCTCTTCAGAAGTAATTTGCAGAATTTTTTGTCGCTCCCCACCGCCTGCAACAGTAGAACTAGCAGTGCTCAGTGTGTAGGGAGCTCTGTGGCCAGAGGAGCTCTCTTCGATCTTCCATACTGGTCACGACTTTTGCTATGGTACCCTTAACCGGTGACATCGTCATGCGATCCACAATCACGGCAGGAGGATACAAGTCTTTTGCCACCGCCTCGGCGGCCCGCCTACACTAAAGTAGTCACTAGAGGAACGAAAGTGTGATTAGTCCGTGGAGGGGTTTAACATGACCTGCTGTGTCGCACGCTGTTTGCGCCTTCTTTTTTGGGCTGGGAGGGAGGATGGGTGAGGCCCTCGCAACAATTCTTGGGCTGGGTGATTCCAGTGAACCATCGGAGGCTCCTCGGGCTCCTCGAGCTCAAGTTCCAGCTCCTGTGACAGTGCCACCGACGTGCCTCGTTTCATCTCAGGCTTGATGTTCGAATTCTTTCCCAGCATTCTTCTGCCCATTCTGCTATCCTTTTGTTTGCATCACCACGAGTATTACCACTACTCGTACGGTCACTATCACCATCAGCATCGTCATCATCATCGTCATCAAGCAGGCAGCTCTTTTGAGGCTGCATTTGTCTTTCTGACGATGTTGATTGGCCATTGCTCGACCCGCAAAGCAGCAGCGTTTGCTCGGCTGACGCCCTTAACGGAAGCCACTTCAGCTTTCGGTATTCGTAGCTGGAGACAAGGGTGCTCGGGATGTCATGCTCGATTTTCCCAAGCTCAACGCATGCGCCAAGACACTCAACGAGACGGATAAGAACCTGCTGACGATCATGGGCAGCTTGGAGTAAAGCCGATTGCAGAGTTGGGGGCTGTTGCGGCCTGGTGACACTTGCTTGTCCTGCTCTTTTTTAGGAAGGCTCGAGCCCAAGAGCTAAACTTCCAAACCTTAAGGTAGACAAGCACCCTCGAAGGCGAGGCGCAGCTCACGCGTCGGCAGCTGCTGGTCCTTGCAGAGAGAACCCCGGTTCAGGAGCCGAGCCCAAGTATCGGCCAAGTGGCATTGACGATCATGGTCATAATCACAGCAATACGAGGAGAAGCATAGACAGGGATAGCATAGGTCACACAAGCAGCTAAACCAGCTAATGCAGTTGGAGTGAAGGAGGTACCAGCAGATAGCAGTTATAGTAAGTGTATTTGTGGTAATATCACACCAGACAAAGTAAGGTTCATGACCAAGTTCAAAACCATGACCAAGTTCAGTATGATTTTATCAATTGCTAGCCAGGCTTAGGCCCAAAGCTGATGTAGATAAATTGACACACAGATACATACACGTATAAGACAAATATAGCAGTAAAAAAGTACACTATCTATCTATCTATCTACCTAGACATACATATAAATATGATATAAATATAAATGTAAATAAATAGGAAAATAAATATATAAATATAAATATAAATATAAATATAAATAATATATATATATAATATGCACAGACATACATATGTATGAACATATATATACACACACACGCAGTTATGCTACACGTATCTATGCATATCTCTATGTCTGTACCGTTACCTAAGTACATATACATGATGTACCCTGTACACATATGTAAATGTAATATATATATATATACACATATATATATATATATTAGGGGTTCTATAAGAGTACCTGTAAATGTAACAAAAAGGGCTTCAGAGGCTCAATTAAATTAAGTTCAATTCATGTTGCATCGTGAACAAGGAACGGCGATTCCATGCGGTGGAGCTTGTTTCTCTGTCTTCTTGTGATGACGAGCTTGTCCTGGTGCTGCTAAATCCCTAAGCTCTGTACAACTGTAGTTTACTGAAATAGGGTCCCGTTTAGGGTCCTTTTTATAAGGATGCCGTACTATATTGGCGACCTAAACAGAGACCTTAATTTAGAGAACTACCCATAAGACAAGAGCTCGAGACGAGCTCGTATCTGCGAGGCCGCAGCGGAAGGCGTCTGCAGGCTCGGTCTTGGGAACGGTGATCGCTCGGGTGTTGGGTTGCTCCTGTCGGTAAAGGGCTCCCGGGGACTCTGTAGGGCTTGATAGGGGCTTTGGAAAGGGCTATCGGTGTTTTGGGGTTTTGACACACGGATGTCTTAGTAGCCCCTGAGCTATCGCGTCGCAGGCTCTTGCAGTAAGGCTCCCCCGTTGATTCGTCCGAATAATTATGACTCTACTTTGCCGAGTTTATGTTGGGATTCCACATTTTCTGAAAGTCTCACATCCACCGACTTCGCCTTCTTATGGCTTCTTGCAGGAGGAGCGCCCTCGGGCTTGCTTGGGGTGTAGCCAACCTGCGCCAAAATCCCCACCCGCAAATACCCAGAGAGCCCAATACCCCTTAATTAAGGAATATACCTTAAATCCTAATATTAAGGCCCCTAGAATTTAAGGTACATTCCTCAACTAAGGGGTATTGGGCTCTCTGGGCTAACCCGCCCCGAAACCATTAGCCCGAGGCAGCTCTCCAGCTCAAAGAAAAAAGCACGAAGCTCAACAGCCTAGGGATCTGAAATAATGCTCCTCTGTGCATCTACTATTGCAGGAAGAGCACGACCCCAAAACCCTGCTCTAATTACTAAGACCCCCCCAAAAACCCAGCAATCGAAACCGAAACCCTAAACCCTAAACCACAAACCGTCACAAACCCACGTCTTCAACGTGGGGAGGTGCCGATGGCGACAGCGATGAGAGCGAAGAGCCTAGCCCTCGGGTAAGGATTGCTTTAAGGGTTCCTTTAAGGAGTCGTTTAAGGATTGCTGTAAGGGTTCCTTTAGTATCTGCTACCACGGGTAAAGGTTTAGGGTTTCAGGGCTTGGGGTTTAGGGCTCAGGGCGTACCGTTTAGGGCGTACCGTTTTAAGTTTTTCCCAGGCTTTATGCAGTGTTCTTGGTGGCATGGACTTTGCAAGGTGGAGATCGATGCTGAAGGCTATGATCAGGGGCCTGGCCATTAGACTAGATCAAATCCTTGCCTTCCGAGCACTTCCCTAACCCTAAAATAAAACCTCGACCCGAAACCCTAAGCCCGACACCCTAAACCCTAAACCCGAAACCGTAA